GAGATCCTTATAAAAGCAACGCAAAAATATTTTTTTGTACATGCCAAGTTTTCATCTTGGACCAGTCAGACTGTGCATTCAATTTCAAAGTCGTCAAGAGACTTTATAAATTATGTTCTTTATGGATTTAACCAAGTTATCCAACTGAGGCCAATTTCATATTTGTAGCCACGATTCAGTGCCTCCCAAGTTCTCTGAGATTAATTTGAATGAATTTGTTCATATCACAGAGGGGCAACATGGATAATCTCCCAAAAGCTCTAGAAAAAGTTGAACTAGGTCCAAAGGCAAGGTTTTCGTTTCCCCCAGAAAAGGCAACAGGATGATCTTTTATTTGATATTCAAACCATATTGGTCATAATTATAGTCTGAATTAAAAAGGCCCAATACACCTAGCAATTACAGTAGTATTTTGCATACACCTCTAAAAACTCGGGTCCTATCCCTGGAGCAGTCGCCACTGCTCTGATCTGCTTTTTGCTTCAGTGAATTAGTAATTTTTTTTTTCCAGATGGCTTTGAGTACACTCCATTTATCAGTGCTGTTTGGAGCTCAAGTTAATTAAACCCCAATGACAAGCATCCTCATCAGATCCTTGAATTTGAAAATCTAGAATCTCTTAACCAGGTGATGCTGTTGCACTATATGGTGTCTATATGAGGGGACAGACATGGTTGTTTACATGATCAATGGTTCGAGCATTAGAGAGCAGCGTTTGAACTAGTGACTTCTTGATATTTTCTACCTGACAGTTCAAGAAAAGATGTGGTTTAATGTATCTTTCTTGCATGTTCCTTTTGTAGCTGTGCAGCAAATAGAAAAGCAGAAAATTGGCATGACAGTCGGGGAGCGGGAATGTTGGTTTTAGATTATTAGGCATTGTGTATATGCACACAATTCTTCAAAAACGATCAAAGGTAGCTGCTGGGAACAGGTCATATTACCATCGAAACAGATCAGCATGAACCTTCCCTCTGAGCATCCCATTGCCTACGGATGATAACCTCCCACATAAATGTGTGGATGTCAGGCTGTCCTGAATTTACGCTGATAGAATAAGACGCGCAGAAATAAATTTGTGACCAAACTCCTTTGAAGATGTTCCACTGAATTGCAGTAGTCTGACTGACTCAATCTGTTAGCAAGAACCAAGCTTAAGGGTTTAACATTACAATGCAATGTTGGGGACAAGTTTGATTGGGGGCTTATATCATAATTAACGCTCTTACAACTATAAGAAGGTAATTTACTTCACTGAAAAGACCAGATTAGACCACTGCTCTTTAGGGGTTCAGGCTGGTTTATGCTAGTTTGGTGCTGGTCTAGGTATTGGAACAACTGGATCAACCATGTTGATCACCTGCAAAACATGTCTACCAGCATGGTCTTTTTGATAAAGCCGATTGACCATGGTAGTTTTGTTGGCTATGCTAGTTCTGGCAAATGCTAATTCCAGCAAAACAGTCACCAGACAGAAGTAGATTAGTTCAAATGAACCTGTCTCTGGTTTGATGGTTGGATGTACTTGATTATGCATTGGATTTGATCAAGGTTAATGTGTTTTTGACCATGATTTGCTGTCTTCAATGTGGTAAAATTGAACAACTTTAACCATTAAAATCACCTGCAAAACTTAACTGGTAATACTTGTCTAACAGCATGTTTTTTAATGAAGCTAGTTGGCCATTTAAATCTTGCTGGCTATGCTAGTTAAGTGTCTTGGTGGTAGATTTGTGTGGGTGATGTGCCCTGGCAAAACAGTCACCAGACAGAAGTATATTAATTAAAAGGAACACCCATCTGGTAGCTGTTAAAACTTGGTAAGGGTTAGGGTTAGGTTAATCTTGGTGGAAGGTTTTTGTTGGTAACTTTTGTAGTGGAATTAGTTCAAATGAACCCTATTTAGTTAAAATAGCCTGACTTGATGGGACTTAGGGGGGTAGGCCGGATCTGGGCCAACACTATGTTGCTGTCTGGGTTACAACTGTTAAAAGACTATTGGTATATTTATTTACGTTTATGAATGATGGTAACTTATTCAGACCCCTTTACAAACGCACAAGATCGTCTACACATCCAACCACCCTCCCACACACACTCTGCTGCAACAAATAAAAAAAGAAAGAAACAGACTTTCTTTAGACAGATGGACAGTTAATTTGTTCCAGGACTCTTTTGTTCTCTGTTAGCTGCAGGTTAATCTTGTTGAAAGATAAAAATATTTTAGCAGTGTTGTGAATCAGTGCTTGTCAGTCCTTTGAGGTGAAGTACCACCTTTGATCGAATCAGAACATCTAAATTCCCTTTCATTTCTCAGCATTGACATTTTTCGTGTAAGCATAGAGTTGATGCAACTTTTGTAATCTTAATATACAGAGACAGCTATAAGTAAGCCTTTTGTAGGTGGATTTCCTCTGAAGTGTGGCTCTATCAAACCGTTGCTCTTTTGCATCAATGTTTGGGGGATGAGAATGTGTTTGTCCAGCCAATGATAAACAGGGAGCACTGTTTGAAAAGAGTCATTATTTATGCATTATTTTCAGGCCTTTATGTCAACGTCCTCTGGGTCCTTATGCAATTAGACTTAAAAGTTCTAAAAAACCATGTAAAATCAAGTCTACAGTATAAACCAGGGCTGTCCAAACTCGGTCCTGGAGGGCCGGTGTCCTGCAGAGTTTAGCTCCAACTTGCCTCAACACACCTGACTGGAAGTTTCTATGCCTAGTAAGAGCTTGATTAGCTGGTTCAGGTGTGTTTAATTAGGGTTGGAGCTAAACTCTGCAGGACACCGGCCCTCCAGGACCGAGTTTGGACAGCCCTGGTATAAAGTCTCTTGTGTGTGCATGGAAAATGTGTGCTATCCAAGCATGTTTTATAAAAATAGCTAGAAATACTTGTGAACTGCTTTTAGGTTGTCACTGCAATGTACGAGCGAAACCTGTTGAAACTAAAATCATAGTTAGTTTACTTCATCATTAAGACTTGAAGTCTGCCTGACTTGACTTGGCTTGGCCTGACCCAAACTCTATAACTTCCATTGTCATACAGAGAGAGTTTTTCTCTCTCAAGGTAGAAAAACTTGTGACTTTACTCCTGCCTACAAGGTGAAGACTTCTTGTCTTAACAGAGGACAAGGTCGGATTTACTGTGCAATGGAGCGGAATGTGGTTAAGTGCCGTGCCGGAGAATACAAGGAAAATGAAGGAAATATGAATCTAGGTTATGGGGATTCATTTAAGAGTCCTTAGCATGGCAGCAAGTTCCAAGGACATGTATCCGCATGTTGTGATAGCAGGTGAAAAAAGCATAGTGTTGTGTTGCGTGTCCACGGCAAACTTTCTCAACAGGAGAACTGTCCACAGTGACAATGGCACAATTCGCCCCATGCTCTGGAGTCCAGTTATTTTTAGCACCGTGCTGCTGCAGTGAATTTTAAAATGGTTTTGGCTTGGTACTGTGCAAATGGTTGAATAACCAATGCATTTTGATTCATGGTCCTAAATTGTTTCCCAGTCCTCTTTTTGGAGATTATCAGATCCCAATTTTAAGTTCATATTTAGATTTAGAAGAAATTGGTCTTATTTTCTGATATTGAGCCTTTAAGAGATAGGCTGCCTGAAATTGGACCTTTGGGACCAAAATGCAATCTGTGAGAGGCATTTCGTAGTGCAAAGCTCGGATATTTGAAAGCCTACTGCATAAAAAATGGCA